ACATAGTCACGAACACGATAGAGACCACGAATCTGACCAAGGACAAGATGAGAATCATTCTCATGTCCACGGACATGATCACGGCAATAATGAACAGAACAGTGAAAGTGAACAATACGGTGAAAATGACCAGACAACTGAACATGGAAACAATCAGGATCAAGACAACAGTCAAGAAGATATGAGCCGTGAGAACCAAGAAATTCTACGCACTCAGTATCGAACGACGCCGCCCTCCTTAGATCAAGGGCCACAAATGCAAAACGATGATTCCATAGATCCTTCCTCGGCATCTGAAGAAACGGGCGACAAATCAGTCTACGGTGAGTCGAAACATGTGTTAAACGCACTAAATTCAAAGCTCAATGGAATGGGAATGGTATCCATTTTTGCAAATACGTAAATTATAACCTTTATGTTTTCTTGTTACAGTACCTCGAACTCTAGAAGGAGAACTAAAAATCGATAACGATGATTTCACCGCTGCACTTGAAGATCCCGAAAGCGATGGTTACAGAGATTTTGCAAACGCATTTGGTCATGCCCTTAAACAAGTATTATTCAACAAGAATTCCAAAATAAATAAATTAGAGTATAATGAGAATGACATCGCTCTTGAGATCGTTAAAATAAGGTAAAGAATAATTTAATTACTTTATATTCAATTGGAAACGGTAACAAACACTTACATGTTTTCTTTGTTTACAGACGGGGCTCCATAATTGTTACTTACAGAATCCATTGGGATCCTAAGTACAATACTCAAACATCAGACAACCTTCTGACACCGAATACTTTGAAAGAAAGTTTGGACATGTATTTAGCACAAAACAACAGAATGATTAGTATCTACCACATAGCTGAAGACGAAATGGCCACAAGGCGGATTTTAGATATATGTCAAATAAATAAAAACGGCTGTGATTATGGATGCCAGTTTGACAAGAGAACTTTAGACTTTACATGCACTTGTCCTCCTGGACAAATAATTGATATGAAGCAGCCCAAAAAATGTATGTTACTGTTTGATAATCAGGATCAAATAAATAACAACTTCACATCGGACATGAGCATGGCAACCGTAAACCCCAATTCTGAAGATGCAAATTCGAATACAGAGATTATTTATAGCAAACAGACTGCGCCTCCTCTTTCAGAAACCACTACCGAAAATGATTCAGATGTAAACTTCTCACATATATTTGGTAGCTCTCTAAACGAAAATGATAAACATGTCACTGAAATACATCATCCAGAGGAACACAATAATATAGCTACACAATATATTTCTTTCTTAGAAACTACACAACAACCGAGTACTGAAAACACAATGATGGATAATTCGAAAAATAACGAACCTGTTGCTGAACCAGAACCTACATCTGAACCCCAACATGAGGTGAAAACTACAGTAGCAAGTGATAGCTTTGATCGTACAACCCTAAATAAAGACATGCAACCAAACCCGACACTAATTCCCGAATTTGCTAGATCATCTGAACCGCAACCCACACCTGAGCCAACTACTGAAACGTTCGTATATCAGACAACAGAAAATGCTCATTTTATTGAATCTAACAAAATGAAAAACAACAAAGATTTAAGCGATAATGAAAATCTATCCACTACTGAAACGTCTTCTTTTACTCATCATAGTCACATGCATGATAACAAATTTCATATTACTACATTAATACCTTCTGAAATAGATACTACTCAACCTGAAATGTTGTCTGAAAAGTATGTTCAAGAAACGACTACGGAAAATGAGTGGCTTGAAGACTCCAGTGAAAAAGTCTCTAAAGGTGATAAAAGCAGTACCGAACAGGTAACATATGAAAGATCTTCAAAATCTTATGAATCCATTGACGAAACTAGTCGAGGACCGACAACTTTACAAGACACTGATAAAGAAATAGAATCATACACTAAAAGCGGTATGAATGAAGGTGACCACAGTACTAATGCAGTATCAATATCACAATTCCTTGGAAAGAAACCAGGTGAAGAAACAACAGTGAATAGTTTATTGGATACGACAGTCTCAGTATTGACGGGAATAGAAGAAAGCCGACATTTCTTTAATAATGACACTACAGAGAATAATATAAATGGGGAAACAACTCCCAGCCAAATTTCTCTATTCGGTATTACGACAGGTTCCACGATGTATGAACGTGCAGATGCAACGACCCCAGCATTCGATACAAGTACAGAATATTCCATTGCAAAACAAACTAAAGACGTAAATATCTTAGATCCAAACTTTATGACAATTCTAAAAAATACAAACAATAGTCAGTTTGATAATAATATGAATTTAAACGTTACAACTGAAAAAGATTTTGCTGAGGGCGACATTACTTTTGACGCTATTAATAAACTATATAATCGATCATCTAAATCTTTTGTGAACGATAAGGAAAGTGTTGCTATTGGAACTGAAGCGAACGATATGTTTAAGGAAACAACAGAAACTACAACTAGTGCAGATTGGTTATCTGAAACCGTGACAGAAATAAATTATCAAGATATCATCGATGAAAATAAAAATAAATTGACAACAGAAGCATCTGCAACTAGATTAGATGAAATAATGAGTCGAGGTTCAAATAAAGACGACTTTGAACCGGATTACCTAAATATGGGCTCTAACACCACTAAGAACATTGAACATGATATGCCGCAGTACGGCATGCTTCACGATTACGATAATGATGATTTGGTTGTTAAAAGGGTGAAAAACGCACCTGGTTCAATGATTGAAGAAACTACCGCAATGAACGTAGTGCAAATAGCTTCCAAAGAAAACCAAATGGATGAATTAACTCCTATACCCACAGTTGAAACGAATGACACTTTTGAAACAACCACTGTAAGCGATTACATATACAAAATGATGAACACCTCAAATGAAAACTTGAATTCTGCAGTAAGTACAACACAACCAGTCCCTCAAGTTTGGGAAAATTCTGAAGACGACATGAACTTTATTAGAAATCTAGCAACTTCAATGATAACAGATGCTGTATCAGATATTACAACTACATTAGCAACAACGACGCAAGATAATATTGATAAAAGTAACAACGAAAACATGATAAATATCTCAGAATCGAATATGCAATCAAGTAACGTATCTCAAGCAAATAACTTAAATGTAAACATTTACGAAATATCTAATCTCCCCGACAACCACACTACACAACATTCCGTTAATCACCAGCCAACAGAATTTGTAGACCACGAAACGGAGATGAACCCATTTTTACCTGAAATAGAAAATAACAAGAGTCTAGTGAAAAAACTTCAAGAAGGTCATGACTTGGAACCATCGAATGTAAATGAAACCCAAAATGAAACTACAGAGGATCAGCTACATCGTGTTTCAGATGAAAATATTGCTGTAAATAATCAAACAGATAGCAATGGAACAACACCCGCAATGACAGAAAACACATCTTTGAAAGCTGAAGATAATGAAGCTATTTTAAAAGAAATGCTAATGCACCAGGATATTTCTTCCAATGAAGAAAAATCACAAACATCATTGGGTGATAGTAATAAAGACACTGAAACTACTACATCCGTTGATCCAATAGTCGATGATGTTAAGGATTTATCAGGTCGGAATGACGCAGTACCTTTAACGACGTTTTTATTGGACACTGACGACTTAGACACTACCAAAGATCCTTTTGAAAAGGAAACCGTAAAATCTGGACTCGTTGGAAACTATGACACTACAATGATGTCAATCTCATTGCCTGAAACTACTGCCGCTACTACAGATAATAAAATAAAAATTAATGATGATAACGATATACTTAGTGTAGTACCAATAGAGCCAGAAGTTATCAATGGCCAAGATAATTTGAAGAAAAACTACGACGGAGAAAATCTTGCTGAACTTAATCAAATAAGTGATTCACCTAAAAAGAGTGACAGAAGGACAGTAGATTCGGACAATACTAACTCTCTTATTTATAATGAGGCGTAGTGTACGTTTGTTTTTAGTAATATGCAATAAGTTTGTACATGACTTCATTTCCTGTGATTCTGTCGAACAATATATTAACTAACATTCTTGGAGTACCAATGTAGTGTTGAATGATTGTAATTAATGAATGATAAAATTGAGCATTCTGCTACATTTCCGAATTACATTGAGAATCCTGTTTACTATAAAGACAATAAAATATATTTTGCATTAGACTAGTCAAATTATAATGATCACGATGAAAATCGTGTAAATTTAGATTATTTATTATTCGAATGTGCTCATATGCATAACCAAATATCATGGAACATTCTCCCTTGCACTAACTTTCACAGACATACTTTATTGCATTCTATTATAGATTGTTACCATAGATAAATGTATATTATATTAATGTTAATAAAACTTAAATTTGGGATATAGAGTAAAAGAGAATATTCGAGAATCAAAAATGATTTTTACGTCTTCAAAGGATACTGCCATGCCTAAATGTGATAACATGGACATAAATTATAATATTATAGTAATTTTCCATTCGTACATAAATATCCAGTTCTTGGTGATATTTAGCAGAAGTGATGTCTGATTGTATAATAATAATTATTGTAGATCTTGTTAACTAAGATATATTTTGTATAATATGGTTGAAACTGTAAAGAATTATGTTGTAAATAAATTTAAAGTTAATAATTAACTTATGGTTTTCATTTTAAATCTACTGGCGACAGAAGTGTCTTTTCACTCTCGATTGTTATGCAATGCCAATAGTATCAATAAAATTTTTCCACGATTTTTTACATTTACTTCAAAAGGATAACGACATGGAATATAAATCATTTTTATTGAAGTTAAGATAGCACTATGCTTGTCTTAATAACTAGTACCAAAGAAAACAACAAAAAAAAATTATATGTGTAAAATGAAAAAAAAAATCAGTCTTAAAATTTATTTTATTGACAACAATTAAATATGAATAAATTACAATAAACTAGTATTCATGGCACTTGATGATGTTTGAAAATCAATATAAAGTTGATATGTAAATTTTAACCATGAAAATGATTTAAAATCTCACTTATAGAATAATAAGGCACTTCTATAACTACAAACACATTGTAGAATCACATGGTTGTGGTGTAATTTCTTCCATTTCTTGACTAATCATTTGTTGATCATCTATCAACATTTTAGCACAAAGACAATCCTCACTAATCGTTCCATTTCCACTCACTATACAAGTACCTAAAATTGCCTTGCAACTGTTGTACGGAATAGTTTCAGCATCACATTTAGATTTAGCCTTAGGTTTGTTATTGATAACAATTCCTTCTAAATCTGAGTCAATTGTATTAATTATTTTAATAATACCGTTAACCCCATATTCAAATTCTGGCATACAATCATTATTTACTTTTTTCTTATTCTCTATTTTGTCTGTATTCGATTTAACATTAGAACATGCACAACTATTACATGACATATTTATATCATTACTTTTCTCAGTCACATTATGTAGTCTTTTGTTTTCTTTTTTCAGATTTTTGTTAACTTCGTTAGTATTCACTTTAACCATTTGATCACATAAACAATTTCCATTCCCAATTGTATCCCCAGTCACTAAACATTTGCCTAATACAGATCTACATGTGTTAACACAGTCCATGGAATCATTTATATTTCCATGCAAATCATCTTCTATGTCAACTTGAAATTCCTCTATTGTTTTTGGTAATGTACTCGCTGACAATTCTGTATTGACATTTCTGTCCTCACTAAGCTCATGGTCTTCGGGAAATAAAACAGTGAACTGGTCGCATGGAGAAGATCGATCACCTGTGTAACATTAAATTGTAATATGGTTGAAATAAAGCAAAAAAAATTTGTAGAAAAATTACATACCTTCAGATAATGCAGAAACATTTACCAGATTTTTGGATGGCTCTTTATCAATAGGTTCTTTTTCTAAAAAACAAGAACAAGTATGTATATTAAAATGTGTAAAAGAATAAAATTACATTTACCACTTATAGATATACTTACTATGTCTAGCGTAGTGTCTCTTCCGAGCTGATTCAGATTTAAACTTTTTCGTACAGTTTGGCATTTCACATAATAACCTCTTACTAGTTTCATGTGTTTTGATGTGTACCTTTAAATTGTGTGATTGGATGAACCCTGAAAATATTTTAATAATCGAAATTAAAAAAAAAAAAGGTAACCCTGAACTATTGTCCCCAACATGCCAAATCATATCCCATGTAGCTTTCATTGCATATTTGAATTTAAAGTTTAGAATATTTATTAACAATATTTCTCTTTACATTATAATAAAATGATGTACCTTTTCCACAAATATCACAAAAGTGCTGTCGACTGTTTGTATGTGTCATCTCATGGTATTTGAGGTGATGAGAGAAATTGAATGTTTTGTTACAATCAGTATATCTGCATGAATACTTCCGCTCGGACTTTGGTTTGTGTGTTAACATATGAATACGGAGAGCCTGGTGGCTACTGAACTGTGCCTCACATTCTTTACAAATATGTGTACCTGTAATAAAATAAATATCAAGATTTAAAAAAAATACATAGGATTGAGAGAATATCTTGAAACAAGTCAAGACAAAAGGCACTCCTATTAAATAAGATGTGTAATTAACAATATTTACCAGGTGAGATTGTGGTCAAGCGCTAGCTTATAAAACGTAAAAAAAAAATATTATTCTTGATCTAAGCATACTCTATCACAACAAATATTTTACTCTATTGTTTACATTTGATTTTTTTACCTTCATGGGCATATTTCAAATGGCGCTGGAGAAGAACTGCATCTTTAAAAGTGTGATTACATTTATCGCATTCAACTGTTCCCGTCCTTTCATGTTGCTTCTGGTGACGCTTTAGAGCAGAACTAAAGATACAAATCACTAATAAATACTACATTACTAATAATAACTCGCAACCATTGTTGATAATTCAACTTACATATATGTGAATTTTTTGCCGCATTTATTGCACTCAAAACCTGGTAAATGGCTGAGTTCATGTCTTTTGCGTTCGCTCTCGTATTTAAAAACTTTTCCACAACGAGTACATTCAACCATGCTAAATAAAACTGATAAACATATCTAGGAGATTGTGACTTTTTAATCTTCCGATTCCCTCTCTATTTACTACTCACTGTTTAAGCTAGTCAGACGATTTTTTAAACAATTGTTAAGTCTTATAACTTATAACCAACTTCAATATCAACAAATAAATTGAGTATTTTAAGTTCCCCATAAGTTTTACATTTACGTTAACATCGTTATCAGATAACTTCATAACAATGACAAAGTCGTGTTGATGTTAGGATTTGACATTGACGTTATTAACTTTTATTAAGCTTGTCAAATGCTCCTTGCTCCCATTACATTTAACAACTAGTTACATTCTCTTTGCTTGCTCCCATCCATCCAACTGTTTTTTCACCATTGTTGTTATAGGTTATTATAATATTTAAATAATGAAAGAAAAAGAGGTTTTAAATGAAAATAACCATTACATTTTCATACGACAAAGAAAACCAATGAGGTATTTTTTATATTTTTGTACAAAAAATTTCTTCGCAACGGTTACATTTATACAGAAAATAATTTGACCATTTTTAAATTATATACTGAGATCTTATCGACTATGGGCAAAATATATCTTTGTGTTTTATATACTTTCAAGTCCTGTAAAAATGAAAACAAACATTGAAGTCGTTGTACATTGTACATTGTACACGTTGTCTGCCTTTTCAATCGAACGAAACGTCTAAATGTCAATGTCAAATTTAAATGTCAGGAGAAGGCAATATTTGTATTTTTATTTTTTGTATTTTATTTGATGGTCTGAATCAAAAATATTTATACATAAACTATTTTATGACCTAGAAAAAGCGTACATATTCAACAAAAAACTTAAAAGATGCGTACCAAACAAAAAAATGTCATAAAATTACGTAAGTTTTGCCGGCGCGTCTTAAAGTCGCAAGCAAAAAAATCCGAAGTTATCACTTTACAGTATGAGAGTGTTAACATAAACACGCATTTGCCTGCAGAGACTGCTGGCTAAATTACATTTTTGATATTAAAAGTTAATTTTTATAACTGAAGACATTCATTGAAGATGAAAGAATGGATAAAGATTACATTGATTTTGTGCGCGTTCGGCACATTGAGAGAAATAAGACCGTCTGAGCCTTTTGTTACCGAGTTTTTACTTGGAGAATGGAGAAACATAACTGAAAATCAATTGAATCAAGAAGTTTACCCTGTAGGAACATATTCATATTTGGCACAACTTGTGGTTATATTTTTGATAACCGATTTTTTAAGGTTTAAACCTGTTATTATAATTTCTGGTCAGTAAGTTAAAGGTTTTTGTATTTATTTTGACATACTAAAATGACTAATAAATTAAGTTAAAGTAATTCTTTAACATATATTTTGTTAGAACTAATTTATTGAAAATCACTTTAATATGAGCCTTCTCTTTTAGATATTATATATAAGTATGTAAACATTATTGGTTATAATAAGTTTTGAAACAGCAAAATAATACTTATAATTTTTACTTAGCAAATTTTATATTTTTCATGTAGTAATTAATTTCAGGACTAAGCGGTATTTCAGTTTATGCAGTATTACTATGGACAAAGAGCCTGCAATGGCTACAAGTTTCACAGTTCTTGTATGGATTGTATATGGCCACAGAAGTTGCATATTTGACATACATTTATGCCAAGGTAAATAAATACTTTTATTATTACATTAATAATGTTCAAAGTAAAAAATCACACAATGAAAGACGGCCACTGTACTGTTTTATATTTTAATAAAAAAAAATTAGATTCACATGGAAATTCTGATGTTAAGTGAAAACAAATTATGAAATCGTTTATCACAAAAGCTTATAATAAAAATAAATTGACTATTTACCCAAAAGCTTTTGATTCTTGTTTCTGATTAATGTTTTTATAGTATCTTACAGTATTTTTAAAAACAAAAACTGACATATTCTACTTATTTGTATATGCTTATGGTTGAGCTATCACAATTTGATTTGACTTATGGCCTACCAGGTCAGATAATAAAAAAAAGCTTTGTGATTTTTTATAACTCCATATTAAACATTTATTAAGGAAAAATAGGTAATTTCACATAATATATACCTTAGTCAGTCCTAACATAGTTCAATATCCAATATATACATTATATTGCACAAGCTATGTAAACCATCTTGCAGCTATCAGGCTGTAAACATTTACACATGGCATTTACATGTCGCGTGCCTCTCGTGAATGATAAGGTGTGTTAAGAATAACAATATGTGCATAATTACAAACAACAGGTTAAGAAACCAACAAAAACTACCACATAACGGTATAAACAGGTTAGCTATCGCGATCGACGTTGCATGGACTTTGTCTGCGCGGAATAAATAAAAAATTTGTAGCCTATGTGTGTACATCTATGCCAAGTTTCAACAAAATCCCTGTAGCTGTTCTGGAGATACCTTCTAGCACACATCTAATCTTTAGCGTTAATAATTAGTAAGAAAAGTAAAATATAACGTTTAAAAACAGCAAGTATTTTGTATTAGAACTTTGTGTTAGTTGTTTAGGTAGCTGTCAAGCAATATTTGTTGTTTTTATGTTTTGTTTTAGGTTGATTCTACTAAATATGCAGTGGTGTCTTCATATACCAGGATAGCAGCGCTCACTGGACGTTTCCTATCTGGACTCAGCTCACAGTTGCTAGTACATTATGAACTCATGGACTATAGAGATCTCAATTATATCACATTTACAGGTATAAATTTATATTCTATTTGTATTTCTTTGTCATGTCATCATCTCCTTGTGTTATCGGAATCTTGTATCTTTATATAGAGTTTTTTTTTTCAAAATTGTCTGTCATTTATAATTTCAGTTCTGTATTGTCTCCTGCATTCTCATTTAAATATTCTTAATAGACAAATATGATTTTTTATTTATTTAGTATAAGGGTTAGTAATGCCTCACATAATGTCTTATACATACCAATGTAAAATAATTTTATTCAATACTTAAAAAAGACGATAAAAACGAAGATAAGAATCATTAATCAATAACTTTACAAGCATTGCATTAAAATGAATAAAAACTAGTGTATCAGAAAAAGATATGAATTTTACTTGAGTTAATTGCAGCTCTGAACGAGCCACGATGAGCGCGGTCAACCAATTGACTTATTTATCAATGAGCCATTCTATAACTCCTATAATAATGATACTGTAACATTGCCTTTAGTGATTTTGCAAAGAAATTATGCCACATTCAAAGACTAACTTCATCTTAAAATATTATAAATATTTAATATTATGAAATTTGGCATACATAAAGAACATAGTCTGGAAGAACAAATAGGGTACCTCTTAAGTTTTATTTAATTTCGCGCGAACGGAGCCGCGGGCGACAGCTAGTATACCTACTAAAATATACTTATGAATAGTGACATAAAGAATTTTGAGACATTCTTTGTGTTTAACGTTTTTAAATATCCAGTCTTGGCATTTCTTGCTCCTTCCATTTTCATACATATATGCTATTATACTCGACAGTTCTCCAGAAATCGTGATAGAACTTTTATATTCCAGCTCAGATCCTCGCGTCTTTCTGGGCGCTGTGGTTACCATCGGTCCCTTACGGTATATATTTCCACCGAAATGTGACAGCACATCCGGTCACAACTAACATAGAAGACAAGAGCACGTCAGACGAATTAAACGTTGATAAGGTGTGTTATTTTATTCGTCACCAAGTGTAACAGTTTCACAATAGCCCCACATAATATTGTCCTTAGTTGACGATAATTAATTTTTGCGACTGTTTGTATTACTAAAATGTATTTATGAATGCAACAATATAGCTTTTAGTAAAAGAAATATGTAATAGATATTATTGTTTTCAAATATCGTGGCGGCTCAAGGTCGTAGACGCGTTGTCCAATGTCATCACCGCCCCCCGCATCCCGCTACATTAAAAATTTTCTTCTGCGCAGCGACTCGCGCGATGTTCACACCCGCTAAGATATTTGAAAATTACGATACAGAATATTGTTTTTAATGATGTAATGTACACTTTAACACCTGAGTTACAATCGTAATGAACTGTTTTTTAATTGCTTTGCATGTTTATCGTAAAAAGTTATCTTATATGGAATATTGTTTTATGTCTGTTAATTATTGTAGTACAGACTTCAGTATTTGTGGAAATGCTTTACTATAACTAAATAATTTTCTGAAATTGTATAGGTCATTGCCACCATCTAGAGTCCATGACCACACCAACACAATCATTTTCATTCATTCCAAGTACAGATGACCTTGAGGTCGTTTATTCCCAAACCATTTATGTGACGTCATGTTTGCTGTACATTATTCGATCCTAAGTGGAAAGTTTATTTAATTCTTTGACTAGCATATTAACAGAGCTTCTTTTGTCTCGATTTCTAATTTTGAATAATTAAGTTATCATGTATCCTTGCAGCGTTCACTTAGAAAAAATATGTGGGAGGCGTGCACATTGATAGGGCGGCACGCGCGCGCGGCGTACTCACGGCCCAAGGTGTTGGCCTGGTCCGCGCTGTACGCGGCTGCGCTCGCCCTCTTTGTGCAGGCTCAGACCTACGTGCAGCTGCTCTGGAAACATATACAGGAGAAAAGTCACACACCTGTGAGTTGAATCACTACATAGTTCTTAATTTAATAAAAAGATGAACTCGATTAAGTGAATGGCACTTTATGGAAGAGTACAAATTATATAATCGCAACAACGTTGACATGATGTCAAAAGTTGGACAAAATGACGTAATTAGCCCGTTATTTGCTGAAATAAAAACTTTCTATTTCAATATGTAATATAAAAGGTGCTTCGTCATAATCCGATGTTAATCTTAATATGAAACATGATACGTATTAGCTTAGAATTATTCTACGTAATCTGAAACTGAGTTTATTTTGTACCTGCATTTACATTATCTTATTTGCATGTTTATATTAATTTAAGTATTATACTTTCTTATCTATGTATGTATAATTAGGAGATTATTTTATCCTGTATCAACTCAATTGTATCTTTATCGTATTGTTAAGAAATTCTTTAAGATTCTATGTTGCACACACACACACACACACACACACACACACACACACTCTGAATAAATATGTACAAAAAGTGAATAGAAGTTTTGCATAAAACTAAAATATGAAACAGGCGTAAATGACATAATAAACGAGTATAAATAAAGTTAGAGCTTGAGCAAAAAGTAACATTTTCAACAAAATGTGGCTAACATTTTAATTAAGCTTGTTCCTAGATATGCTTCACTTTAGTCTGGATTCAACCCCACGGCTACTCGACCGGCGTAATGTCTGTATAATTAACCATTTAGCTACTACCGTTTATTTAACTTATAAGACACTGTCCCAGGTAGCATATAACGGCGCGGTGGAAGCACTTCAAACGCTGCTAGGAGCGTTCGGTGCATTTCTATCTTCGTACTTCGCCAGAGCAGAGCTGCCTGCGCCCGTGCTGGCAGTGCAAGGCATCGCAGTCTTTGTTGCTACCTACATACCCAATGTGTTTGTGTCATACGCGGGTTACGTTGTCATGGGAATGCTGTACCACTTCACTATTACTATGGCCAGGTGAGTTTATTTTTTTATACTTTTTGGAGACAATGGTATCTAATTTTGGGTAAACTAAATAAAGTACCTTTCACATAGCAATTATGTGCTTGGTAATTCTAATATAAATTTTTAAAATAAAATAATTTTAAAAGTAATATGAAAGCTTATTTCTCAAGTAATCGATTCAACCTGTGACAATCTTATTTAAATCTTAATAATATATACCAAGTCACGCTATTATAATATAACAGGAGAAGGAAACATTTTTTCTGATATTCAAAAACATGCAATGTTTGTTTTTAGTGCAAAAATCGCCAGTCAGCTGAGCGACGAGAGCTGCTTCGGTCTGATATTCGGCATCAACACACTAATAGGCACAGCCCTGCAGTCAATACTTACTGCTGTACTCATACAGAGCCTGCATCTGCCAATTACCTCACAGTACTACGCCATCAGTGGACTCTTCCTACTTACAGCTTCCGGTTGGCTCTTTGGCTGGCTGATCAATAGTGTCAAACAGAAAAAGAATATCAGTATTAACAATCAGTATTGATAGAGAATTTTTTTTTTATATTTAGTTGTTAGTTGCCAAGTACTTATTTGGTAATAATATAAATTTGACATATATGTGATTTTTTTTACCTATACCTTAAGATAAGCTACAAGGTCTGCAAAAAATTAATGCTGCACAAATGGCCTGCTCGTCCAGTGCAATAGTACAACCTCATCAAAGACAGGCATAAAGTTGAATTCTGAGTAAACCCAGTATGTGGTTAGGACAGGAAGAAGTAGATTTGGTAGTGGTTGACAGTAAAGGTAGGCAACACAGCTACCTTTTAAGCAGATGGGCAGAAGAAGTCTGCTATTTTACCCATATTGGATTGACCCCCGCTACTTTGCCATTGTACAAAGGTAATATTCCCCAATGGTTTGTTAAAATAAAAATAAAAACATATTGAGCAAATTTCATTTAACACAACAAATAGATTTATACACACATGATAAATAAAATATAAATAAGATACTTTTCTTAAAATTTTCTAACTATAGATAAAATGTTACCCTCATTCCAGATACATACAATTTAATAGAGCTTGATTATATCAGCATTGGTAAATGATCGGGGAGGCCTATGTTCAGCATTGGACAAACTCTGGCTGATTATGATAACATAATTTCTATTAAATTATTCATAACAAAATAAATTATTATTAACATAATTTCTGCACACTTCGCAAACTTAGAATAGATTTAAAGCTAAATATTTACATTTGATATGTCAGGTATGAGGAGTTTCAATATAAAAATGGATAGGTCAAATTTATAACATGTTTCGTTTACATGTCAACTTTGCTCTGAACATATGTGGTCAAGGACTCAATGCAATAAAATCTACCTGTATTTTTACAAATTACAAAATGATAACATGCTATCGCATGTTTAGTGGTTCGAAGTTTTACACTTGCTTCAATTAGTTTCATGTCCAAGACTAATGTGCTATTTCATTACAAATGTAAATTATGTTGTGCCTTAATAACTCATCTGGTTTTATTTTAGAACTCCTCAAGTGGAATGTATTTTGTATACAATGAAAGAGACATAGATAGTTAACATAAATTCTCGTTAGGGATTTCCTTGTTGCATCCACAATCATAAGAAAATATTGTTTATGTAAAAAATAAACTCCTTATTTTGAATGATTGACTTGAAGTTTTAATTTATTTACATGCCCTCCTTGTCCATCCAATAGTTACGCGTACTGCATAGAAGTCGGTCTCGTTTTGAAATAAACATACGTGCATATTAGTATGAATATAACCGCGAAAGTAGGCAAAACTATCGTATGCATTTGTTGGCGCATTTTCGCAAACTCTTGTTTTCTCTCCCTTTTCTGTTTCGCGGTTTCCTTTACAGCTCCTTTCAGCTTCCTCATTGTAACTAAAACAAGATTCGGAGAATAATGTACAACATTTACTGCCACGATTTTGAAAATTTAAGTAACTTACTACTAGTAAAAATAAGATAAAATGTTACCAATTTACAAAATAAAAGTCGTAGGGGAACTACAAATCTGATGATTAAATAATGAACAAATAACAATTAAATACGAAGTATTTTAAATGATTTCGCTCGCCGATAATCACAACTTGCAACGACACGACACACGTCGACAACATATGATGTTGTTGACAGCTGACAGTTTTTTTTTTAAGTTTTTACGGCCTGGTTTCCAATCTTTTAAGTCGGACAACTGTCATGTTATTTCCTAAACCTCAATAAAAATAGTTTGTATATAGTGACAGAACTGCGATAGCAGCGCCTCTCTTCCCGCTTCAGAAATCTTTGTCAAAATCTCAATTCATAAAAACGGTATGGAATATTGTCATAAAATAAATATTATGGCATCATCGTAATTTAAATAAAAGTAAATTTCATGAAAAATAAATATGTTTAATATGAGGATAAATGACAATTATATTTTAGACCTACTTTGTGGTCATTTTAACATAAGAAACAAGAAGAGATAAAGATAAATTTCTATTAGGCTTCGCTTTCATTTACATTTCTTCTATGTTTAAAAATTTTAACAAAACAAACATTCAAGTTATCAAAAACTTCACAATACTATTAAACAAGATAAATAATAACACTGGTTAAAAGACAGCCAATTACATACTGGCTAATCATGTAATTGTAGAAAGAAACTGCCCATGTCTTCTAATATGCTAAAGTATAATAAAGTACAATCACAACTCATATAGGAAAAAAAACAGTTATATTGTTCATAGCAGTAAGGGATAAAATCGAAAACACTTTAAAGTAAAAAGTAAAATAAATTACTGAATTTCTCTAAATGTTTATCATCAAAAAGCACAAGCAAAAGCATGCTAATAAGAACAGAGCAAAGAACATAAACAAAATAAAATGTATGAAAGCTATTAAATATTTAAATTTTTTATTAATTTTTCTTAGAAAATATGTATAATTTATTTTCACAAATATTATTGAAATACATTTGGTCTTACGTTATCAATAGTTGTTCATCAGCTTTAGATACAATTAATTGATGTAAATGGAGATCAGTGTTCCTTAAATTAAATCTGACTATAAAACACAGAATACTTTTACATTTTTGGTAAAATCTTTGATAAAGGAACACAATTTTTTTTAATTTTTACACATGAAACTCTCCTCCATCTAATTTCTCATCCGATAAGGTGGACAAAATGCTGGCTGACGTACTCTGAGAGAGCCAAATTAAAGACATAACTAAACCCTCTAACAGTCCAATACCAACACCTCCTATAACATCAAGAATATAATGCCGTTCCAGTAGAACTCTTGAAATTGACACAGCGCAAGCCCAAGCAAACAGTGGAGGTAAGAATATAATAGATACGGGGTTCAAATACGAAAGAATGAAGACAACCATGACCGCTCTGCTTGCATGACCTGATGGGAAAGAGTATTTGTCAGGTCCAACAGCTAAGAGTTTGTTCATTGGGATAGGTCGACGTCTTCTTACGAAGGCTTTTATTACTGCTACAACAACAATATCCAAGATGAGAGCTAAAAAAAAGAAAAATTATCACATTACAATTTTAAATACATGCACATATATTTTATCCAGTTGTGAGTTTTCATTTACATATAACACAAATTGTTATGTAGCAGTTTATCATATCATTCTCTTATTATTGTAATTTTTTACAATCTTACTAATATTTTAAATGCAGAAGTTTCAATGGGTGGATGGTTGTTACAAGGTATCTCCGGAACAGCTCTACAGATCTTGATGAAATTTGGTATAGGTGTAGAACATAGTATAAAAGAACATATAGGCTAGTAATCAAGTTTCTTTTAATTACGCATGGACGAGGTAACAGGCGATGGGCAGTTAATATATAGCTAAGGTCAAAATAATCAATATTCTTACCAATTAACATGTTAACTTGAAGCTGATACAAGTCTTTGTTATTAAATAGCCATATAAAAGTGAGCCAACTGGCCAGCCAAACAATACCATGGCATGATATCTGAAAGAATAACATAAATTGGTCAATTAATAAATTATATTAACATATTTTTTTAAATCGCTGTGTTAGTTTATATGTATAAAATAAATGTAACCAATAAACTCGAGTTTCATACAACTATCAAAGTCAGTTTCTAAAGATTGTTATAATAATTAATATTAAGAATTATTTTGTCCAATTTCATAACATTTTAAGCACTTTACTGTAATATAATTGTAACAGTTCAAATAGCAATTTTTCCTCAGGTTACATCAAACATTATTTTCCGTAACTAATAGGTTGAGTCATGACTTTAGAGATATCAAACACAGTGACAATTATGTGACACCGTGATTAGATAACAGGTAATATTTGTTTTTAAATTACCTCCAAAAACTTAGCATGATTCCGTAAAGATCTTAAAGCTGTTGTCTTGAGAGCTAGTTCAACAAATTTCTTGGTAACTTGTACATCATAACGAAGAACCTTTTGCAACATTGGTGGCACTTGTCTCTTATCCTCTGTTGCACCTAGCTTGAAATACAGAAATACAATTTTTAAAAAATAGTATAGTAAAGTATTAAATTTAAAATTTGCGTCTGTAGAAACTTCTTAAATGTAAACACAGTGGCGAATTTTGGACTTGAAAATGCGGTACAATGGTTTCACTGCTGGCAATGCTGTATTATATGCATAATGTCAAATTATTGGGAATTAGGATGATGCATACAGATGTATTAGGTATATAAATTTATGCAAGATGTAGGAGCGAATTTGCATCGGTGAGATCACTATTATTCTTGCCTAGACTCAAGGTTACAAATTGATCTTACAATTATTCTTACCATGTCCATAACGTGCTGTTAACGAAAATTCGTCCAGTATGAGCCACACAGCTGTGTAAATAATGAATGGTTTAGTTAAGTATACGGATAAGTTAGTGGCACAAAAATTTCAATTAATGCGAAACACTAGAAGCTTCGTCTAATCTAAATACAAACAAGACAATTGAAGGGTGACAAAACTATCAAAACGTAAATATGTATAGTTAAAAGTACTTTTTAACAAGATCCAGTATGTCATAAATTGGTAAAAGATAAAAGTGAAACTTGTTACACTTATTATGACAAATCACAAAATAGATGTTACCACAGAGCTTATATTATTTTTTATTTTTATTATGTCACAGTAGGGATGGGTGTTGATTCAACGAACTCGTTTAATCCACCGTTGATCACAATTGATTACATTTCAACGTTTCAACTGTTGACCGTTTTTCAATCAATTAATTGATACCAATGTAAATTTACTTAGGTCACTGGTTCGTCGTCGGTGGTAATCTTTTTTTCTCCATTAGTCTTTAGGTCTTTTTTTATTAATTGTAAAATTAATTAATTCACAAAATCAACTAGTTTTACTAGTTTTAAAATTCAAACTGACTGTTTCCTTTTGTGGGCGCCAAAACCAAGACCTATCCGTAGTTTATAATTCGTGTTTGAGAAGGATATTGAGCGTTGTGGCAGTCAGATGCTATGTACGTATGGTGTATCAATTTTAGTAGACAGCAACCCTTTAAATCACGTACTTCGCGCACTTCAATTGTGAATTGCAAATAATTTTCTGGATTTGTTTCTTGTATGCAACAGAAGAGAATTTCGCAAGAAGTTAGGAAATTTTTCCCTACTGGTAACCCAAAAAAGCGGTAGAGGGCTTATTACATTGTCAAACTGCGAAATTACTGCTAAAGAGTATATAAAATACTTACTGCCATAAGATCCGTGTCTTGTTTCACGCTTATGAATTGTTTGTTACGAAAGTGACATTTAATTTTCATATTCATATTGAATCTGGCAATTTTTAATTTTCATTACTAAAAAACATAAAACATTTCTTATG